TTACGAAAGGAAGCCATCATAGAAATTTGTCCATCATCTATATTGTCCAAAATATATTTCATCAGGGGAAAGAAATGAGAAATATCAGCCTTAATGCTCATTATATCGTGTTGTTCAAGTCACCAAGAGATAAACAGCAAATTTCTATGCTTGCAAGGCAGGTAGATCCTGGTAAAGTACAAGAATTTATGAAGAGTTATGAAGATGCCACGAGCCGACCTCACGGGTATTTGATGTTGGATTTAAAGCCAACAACAGATGATCAACAACGACTCAAGACCAACATACTTCCCGGTGAGATTGAAAAGTTTATAAAAAAACAGTCGTATCGTCAACCACCACTTGTAAATGCCATGTATGATGCCGAGCAGCGAATGAAAGAAATCATGGATGCACCACAGCTTAGCGCAGTGGAAAAAAGCAAATTATATTCGGATCAACTAAATCGGTTTCTCACATTCAAAAATAAGATGGATGTCCAAGCTCAAGCTCCTGTTCAGACAACTCCACTAGTGCCTGCAGAAATACCACCACCCAATGAATTTGCTGAGATAGTACCACCAGTGCCTGCTACGCCTAAACCTAATTTCCTCACACCACCACCAACAGAAGAGGAACGGCCAAAACTCAAGCGCAATTTTTTTCACAATTGGGTCGACCCAGCAGATTGGACCGAACGTGACGTAGCGCGAATGACTCCGGAAGCAAGAGAGAATTATGAACGTTTTGTATTGAGCGATAGACCGAAATCTATTCCAATGAAGCTGGAAAAACTTGCAAAGTTATCCCCAGAAGATAGACAAGAATATGAGAACTCTTTAAAAATAACAAAAACACCTAGACGTTACGCTCTTAGAAGTAGACCTTACTAAATTTTGTAAAACATTTTGAACCAGTAAATGTATTCTAAAACTGAAATATTGTGCAAACATTTACCTGCAAAGCCCGCTCTTTCCGCTTAATCCCCTTAATTACCTACACGCCTCCTAATGACTTAGCAACACATAACAACGCAACATTTGCAAAGTTTAAAACATGTTTATTGATACAAATAACAGACGATAGTGTCAAAAATATTACAACTAAAACTATTTGTTAAACTGTTCTAATTCTAACTTCTACTCTTGATAAGCTTTCTTATGATCATCTTAACAGTATATATGTATGTAGGAGGATTGCTAAATAATCTTGAACAACATGCAAATATTGACCATAACAACGACGTTGACAACTCGGGATTAGGAACTGTTTAGTTTAAAATATGTCTTGATTTTTGTAAGGAAAAGATTCCTCGCTATGGAACATACGAAAAATCCGTCAATATACATGTGGAAATTTATCTCTTCCGAGCAAAGATACGGCTATATATTAATTTCGATAACAATTTTGCCATGCGAGGGACACAAACTGTTCAACACACAAAGTCTTTCAACCCCTTGTGCGACTGCACTCGCAAAAATTCCTTCCAATAAATTGTAAGATGTGATTTTACCGTGTAGACACGCCATGACTGATGTGGAACAAATACAGAACTATGCCTGCTACAAAACACTTGTAGATTTTATACAGACACTTGTATAAAAGTTCATAGTAAGCCAAGATTAATCCCTATTGTATCACACACGTGGGGAGAACGCTAAAAAATGCGTAGTCAGCAAGTTTCGCCCGATCGTGTTTAAGCTCGCCCGCGTGACGTCATTGCATATAATTATGACGTATGTTAATGAGTGACGTCATTACTCCTCCTCAATTGTACGAGTATTAATTATAAATGAGGTGGTGGACACCCACCACCTCAAAACTCCACCACCTCACACTCCACCACCTCACACCACCTCATCCACCACCTCAAA